CGTGGGGCTGCATGGCGTCAACGCAGTTAGCTTGTTCACTCATTAGCACCATGCAGCCCCACACACAAGGTGATCCACGATAACTCCCTAACAGAGATTTGCAGCGTTAATGTGGTTATGGTGTTGATGTAATTTTTAACGAGATTAACGCTGACAGCACAGCATGTTAGAACAGCTGCACTCTGCTAAACAAGCTACCTAGTTCAGGCTAGTTTTAAGTTCAGGCTACAGTAAACAGAGAAAGGCATTTTATTAAATGATTTCATTATATTTGACTTGTTTGGTAAATTGCTCATGCTTCCCCTTATCTTGGATATTGTTTCATGTAAGGGTAGCTAGCATTATCACCATCAATTCAGGAAAACTGTATCACAGATCAAATCACCCACCTCACTGATTAAAATATTTGCGGTGCTTATTTCCATTTCGATACGTATAAGCCAATTATACAGAGTTGTGCAAAAGTCTGGAGTCCCTCCTAATTTAAATTTTTTGCTTTAAAGAGCCAGAATTTTTATTTTATTTTTTAAAGTGGTCTTGAGCAACAGTACTCCAGCCTTTCTGGAGCTCTTCCACAGTTTTTCTTTGGTTTTTTCCCCTCTTTCGGTCAGTCCAGTGGCTGACACTTTGGTATTCACAGCCTGTCACAAAACACAAAACTTGTACTCATTTGTGAAATCTGTGCAAGATGCCAGAGGAAATAAACTATTTGTGCACCAAAAAGGGTATTCCCAAAGAGCTATTACCCAAAAACCTGGCATAACGCTGGATGTCCTTTAAAAAAAATCTGTGGAAGACAAGTAGAGGACAGAAGAAGTGTCAGGCCTAAAAATCTAACCACAGCAAGAGCCAAACTGAAAAACAATAGCAACCGGTCCGCTGGAGTGAGGAATCCAATTTTTGTTTGTTTGTTTGTTTTTGAGGAAGTCAGGAGAGAGGAACATAAGGATTTTTGTTTGTTTGTTTGTTTGTTTGTTTGTTTGTTTTGTTTTAACATTTTATTGCTATGTCTGGTTTTATTATTAGGGCTGCCACGATTAGTCGACTAGTCACGATTACGTCGACTATCAAAATCGTCGAC